AAGGAAGAAATAATACTAAAAGAAATCATATTTACTCTAACTCTTTCAGAAAACAGATGAGAAAGGAGTATTTCACAATAAATTTTATTAAACAAGAATTGCTCCAATACTAAAATCAAAATTATTACCAGAAGCAAACTAGACTAGTATTTCTATGATCATAGACTTAACAAAATACTAGAATATCAGATGTATCAAACCTAAATGGGGTTTATAATAGAAATGCAGTGTTGTTTGAGCATTAGAAAACCAATAAATATAATTCAACATTTTTATATATTACCAATAAAACCCTGTAAGATCATTTCAGTAGATTCAGGAAAGGCATTTCACAAAATTCAATCATGATATAAATTCTCAGCAATTAGGAATAAAAGGGAATTTCCTCAATCTGTTATAGGGCATTGATGGCAAATTACAGCTACCATCATATTCCTCATAAGACTGAATACACTTTTCCCCTAAGAGTGGGTACAAAAGCTCTTCTTTTATTTACCACTATAGAAGAAGTCCTAGCAGGTTATATATGACTATAAAAATAGTCATATAATCATATAATATAGTTAGCATTCTCAAATAGGACATGATATTCTGATCTTAAACTCCAAATCAGTGTTCCTTGGTTCTGGGTATGCAACTCATTACTCTCTGTCTTTAGCCATTAGAAAAAAATAAAACCTAGGGATTAGCAGATGGTATAATGGTTATGTTGCTGGACTTCCATGTAGTAAACCATGGTTTTAGTCCCAGACCCAGTGACTTAAAGCTCCTGCTAGGCACCTGTGTTTGTGTGCCCAAGATCCGAAGAGGAGAATGGAGGAGAAGGGATTGGGGCTTGGCAATCCCCCCTAGGGGGTAATTTTATGCTTTCTGTCTCTCTGTCCACGAGCGCACGTGCCCTATAGCAAAAATCTCTCTAAAAGAAGAAAGAAAACCTAGTAATTGTAGCCCATTTATGGTTTATGGTAATTCAGAGTCTTTATTTATGGAATTTCACCCTACAACACCTTCCACATACACGTGGTTGGCTGCTGCCATTCTGGGAGCGGTGGATAGCACCCTCATCATGCTGAGTTGAGCAGCTGACAGTTCCTTTAATTGGCTTTTACAAAGAAGAAGGAAGATTGAGTCAAATGGATGTATGGATGAGTAAAAATCATAGGTTTTTGGTTTTGTTTTAGTAGGAAAAGGGATATTAGAGGTTATTTAGACAGAACCTCTTCATTTTAAAAATGAAAAAAGTGTGGTTTTGGAGAGGCAGAAGACTTATTGTAGCTAATAAGTGAGGTCTTCTGTACTGAGTCCAGTGCTCTTACCGATACTTCACATAAAGGTTCTGGGTTTGGTTATATTGCCAGTTAGTATCCCAGCATAAAGTATGGTTTACATACTTTACACTATTTCCCTTTTAAGATCTTAAGGTTGATACAGTACCAGAAGCAGCAAATAAACTGTAGGTTGGCCTCCAGCATTGTGCAGTAGTGCCCGTATCACCACAGCAGGACCTCTGCCTCTACTGAGAGAACGTTTCCAAGAGAAAATGCCTGCCCACGGGCTCAGGGAGGGGAAGACAGGAGAGAAACTGCTGCAGATTGAAGATGTTCTTTCAGGAAATTTAGAGATAGAGGCAAGAGAGAAGTGGATGGCAGAGTCAAGATGGGATTTAGAAGAAAATTGAGTACTGAGGTTTCGTGGAGTCTTCATTTTGGACAACGCGCAAAACTTCTAAAACCATCACCTCACCAACTTATTGAGTGGTTTCTGTGTTCTCTTAAAATTCCCCTGATGTGTACCTAGGATGAGACATGATATCCCAAGTAATGAGTCCGATCTCATGAACCTTGCTTCTATAGTAGGCTGTTTCCCTGGCAGTCCAGTTTCCAAGTAACTGGATATCGTACCTTGGAATTCTCATATTTCTGGCAGGATGCTACTTGCAACTGTCCCTCTTGTTTTTATTTCAGTGACAAATACTGAGGAGATGCAAAGGTTTACCCCTCACTCCATCCTGATTCATTTCGCCTACAATGCTGACAACCACAGGCTGAACCAGGGAGGAAATGCACATGAACTAAGGCCAGGCAGCTCCCAGACCCTCTCCCATACCCACCATATAACAGACTGCAGAAAACTACCCCTGGATAAGCATTTCCTACCCTCTCAGGGGGGAAAGAGAGAAAGTCTTTTTCTGTATAACTCTTTCTGGTGAGCTTGCATTGTCCTTAGGTTTCTATTTCCCACTGTAGGGAGCTAGAGAAGGTCTTGTTCCGTGTAACTCTCACTGGTGAGTTTGCATTGGCCTTAAGGTCCCAGTAGTCATACAGTGATGCTTGCATGAAAGGCAGAGGCTGGAGAGGAAGCACTGCTCCTATGCAGAGAAAGCAGAAACCCCATGAATGGAAAGTACCGCAGAGGAAATCATGGTTTAAGACATGGTATATACAGGTAGGGAGACTGGGAGGAGAGGAAGTATAATTTAGAAGAGGTGAAACTTTCATCCCCATAAAGGACCTGGTTGAGCCTGCCATAAGTCTAAAGTCCTCTGAAATCAGTATGATTACGTTGGTGATATGTTAAAAGATGGGCACCTTTTTTTTTTTTTTTTATGCTCTACCAATCCCACCGGGGCAATACAGAATAGTTAACACAGTTTTTTCCACTGGATATATGCAGTAATCTTCTTAGACATCTGCCTTTACTTTGAATTTTCTTTCTTGGGATTTTCATTTTTAATTTAGAAAGAAAACATTATTTTATTGAAAACATTGAGGTTAACTTAAAATCATTCAGAAAAAATAAAATTGTTTCACATGTTAGTTTGCTGAGTTTTAAAAATTACCTTTTCTACAGAGTTGTTGGTAAAATTTGAATTTTCTTAAATAACACTCATTTGGTAGTTGGATGACTCCTGAGGTATCCACACTGTTTTTGTTTTGTTTTGTTTTGTTTTGTGAGTCTCGTGTATGCTCTCAGTTCGATAAAGTAAGGGTTTTTCTTAGAGATTTTTGCCTAGGGTGTGTCTGTACTCTCCAGAGAGATAAAGAGACAGACACAGTGAGAGGGGAAGTGAGAAATCACCCCAGGTGGGATGGCCACGCCACAATCCCTTCGTTCTCCTCCCAAGATCCTGGGCATGCATGTACATGTCCCGGATTGAGTTCAAGCCACCAAGTCCGGGACTCAGACTGCAGTCAGCCATGTGGGAGTCCAGCAAGTAACTGCTATGCCACCTGCTGGTCTCTAAATTATGTTTTTCAAGAATATAAACTATTATGAAATAATAGTAAATTGTTAACTTGCTTATGATATAATCTTGTGAGTTTATTTTTTATGCAATCCATTATGCTGAGTGTTTTTTTGTCCCTTTTAATTTAATCCAGAAATAGACAAGAAGAAATATTATAAGTATAGCAAAGAGAAGACATTAAAGTGGCTGGAAAAAAAGGTATGATACCTCTCCAGTGTCTTACGGCACAAGAAAAAAATTCAGTGCACCTTTTTAAAGATCTTTTGAACTGATAGTTAAATCTGAATCCACAGACCATGCTGTATATGTAACAGAGGAAAACTGCATAGAGATATCCAAGGATGAGAAGTCTTTTCCTTATTATCCTTCCTTGCGTATCTCTAAAGTTAGGTCGGTGTTTTCTTTTGATCTTATCTCTCCCTGATCCTACAGCTGAATGAAAGAATTTCTTGCTGTTTGTTGGTATTGTTGTGAGGCTTCCAAGCCAGATAATGACATGCCTTATGCTCTGGTCAGTCCTGCAGATGTCTCCAAAGGTGATGTTGCTTATAGTGGCAGCTTGTTTTCTCACTTTCCCCCTCTCTCTACCTGTCTCTCTGTGGTGAGCCCATGTGCCCTAAAGCAAAGTAAAAATAATAATAAATAAAATTAATTTTTTTTAAAAAAAAGCTTTGAATGCCACTGGTTTAAGGATATCATGTACTTAGACATTAAGAATGTCATTAAACCAGATCTCTTAATGATACAGTTTTTGCAAAATCATTGGACACCATTAATGATAATACTGTTACTTAAGATTCTCTTCTATCGTATGGGAAAATCATGTTTGTTTGTCATATTATGTTACAGGGCACATTAGGAGCCTGGGAATATGGAAATGAGTCTGTAGAGTTAACCAGGCTCCTAATGTACACAGTAGTGGAAAGATTTTAAAAGTGTCATCCTGGTCCTTTTTTCATATGCTGCATATGCAGTAATGATATTCTGTGTAAGTTAAAGAGTGAGTATAAATCCTGAGCAGAATCTGAGCATTTATTTTTGCTCTTAGCAAATGATAATGACGTGAATAGCAATGTGAGGTTCATAAGTATTATGTTTCCTAGGAAGTAGGAAATTTATATTATTTATTCTGCTTAGCAAATTATTACATATAAAGTTTGTGGCAGGTTCTTCTGTTTTAAAGGATTTACATATATTAATTCATTTAATTCTCACAATAATGCTTTGAGGTAGGTATTATTTTTACACCGATTTCACAGAGAGGTTAGGTATGTGACCCATGGACACAGAGTAGACCCTGTTGGCCCAGTCCAGAGTCAAAGCTCCCAATCGGAGCAGTATGTTGCATCGTGTTACACAGACCCAGCTCTGTGTATTGAGGCTATGCAAGAATGTTGCTGCTGCTCAGCCTTTCTCCAAATGTGCAGCCAGCTCTCATCTTCTGTTAGCCAGTGAAGATATTTCTAGGTTTTCACATTTCTCAAATACTTCTGCAATCCTAAATGGATGACAGTTTCTGAAAAGTCACAGATTTCTAAAATTAAGTTGAAAATACCCTGATTTTCCCCTTTCAATAATTTCATAGGTTAATCAAACGATAGCAGCTTTAAAGACCAATAAAGTAAATGTCGGTGCCCGGGTACAGTCAACTGCAGTTTTCTCTGGTGACCAGGTTTCCAGTGACAAAGAAGGTAAGTAAATTGTTTTATCAGAGATGATTTTTTTTTTCTTTTGAGAGAGATTTTTACTATAAGGCGTGTGCATGCACCAGAGAGACAGAAAGCAAGAAATCACCCTCCAGGAGGACGGCAGTGATGCAATCCTTTCTCTTCTGTTCTCCTCTCGGGAGTTTGGACATGTATGCACATGTGCCCAGCATGAGTTTCAACCTTCCAGATCTGGGACTCAAATGGTAGTCAAACACATGGGAGTCCAGCACCTTAACCACTACTCCACCTACTGGCTCCTAGAGATGATTTTTATCTAGAGTAATTTGCTTCTGTATAAATGCTTGTCTTAGGATTAAAAATCTTACTGCCACAGAAGCATCATAGTCTTGCCAGTGTTCCCATAGGTCTTATAGTAGGTATGCATCTTATTTCTGTACTAAATAGTATTTCTATCATAGATCACATGTCACTAATTGATATTTAAATCATTCATCAGCAAATAGTTATTTTATGCTAATAGTAATGACAGCCTACTCACACTGGCTATCATTTATTGAAAGTATGTTATGTACCAAGCTCTTTGATGACTCGCCAATATAGAGACATTATCTTATTTTACTTTCCCTGTAGAGTCTTGAGGCTCTGTCCAAAGTTTTCTAGCTAGTAAGTGGGAATGCTGAGCTTAATGGATCTTGTCTGACTCTTAAGCCCACACTGTTAACCTTTTTGTTGTACTGTTCTGATGACACAGGATAATCAGTGGGTTGCATCTCTTTATATCTTTCTCTTGAGGAGAATATTTTCTAAGATAGCACTGAATATCTTGAGTTTAGATGAAAATTGACTTGCTTGGCATTGTTTTTTTTTCTTTTAGGTTATTAAGGACTTTTATTTTCTTTTCCCAATGTAATACCCTCTTATTTTCATATGCATATTGAATAGAAAGAGTCATAAAGTGTTGTTATCATTCTCAAAAAGTAGGACAGAATATTCTGACCTTAAGCACCAAATCAGTGTTCCCTTGTTCTGGATATAAAACTCAAAAATATCTGTCTTTAGCCATTTACAACAAAACACTAAAAAAACCCCTAAAAACAGTGGCCTATTTGTAATTGATAGTAATTCAGGTAGTTTTTATTTGCAGAATTCCACATTAAAACATCTTGCACATACGCGTGGTTGGCTGCTGCCATTCTGAGAATGGTGAACAACACCTTCACCATACTCATTTGACCAGCTTACAGTGCCTTAGTTAGCTTTAACAAAAGAAGAAGGAGGATTGAGTCAAATGAATAGATGGATCAATAAAACCATAGTTGTTTTTTGTTTAAAGTAGTAAAGTGAATATTAGAGGTTATTTAGATAGATCCTCTTATTTTAAAAAATAGAAAACTGTGGTTTTGGAAAGGTAGAAGGCTTATTCTAGCTAGTAAGTGAGGTCTTCTGCTCTGAGTCCAATGCTTTTACCAATATTCCATATACAAGGTTCTGGACTTGACTATATTGCCACTTATTGTCCTAGTATAAGCTTTATACGCTTTACACTCTATTTCCTTTTTAAGATCTTAAGCTTGATATGATACAAGAAGCAGCAAATGAACCATATGTTGACTTTCTTACAGTAGTTTCCTCTGTTTATGATCCATTGGATAATTGTTAGTCCAGAACCATGAGCAAATTTTAAGAAGAGTTCAATGATCTTCATTGACAGTGAAGATACTACTGAAGATATTTTTGAGATCAGATAATCACCAAGCCGTGATCATTTTCTAAAGAATATTGAAGCAAATTGTTGCCTTAGCTTGAAATCTGAAGAGAAAGGAAGTGAAGGAATATCCTAGCAGCAAATCTGGGGTCTCCTTTTGGTAGGTTATGTCCCCATGTGGTTATCTCATGAAGGATAAGTTTGATTATCCTGTTATAGTCTACATAGAACAAAAAATTAAGAATGGGTTTGAAACAGATTTTATTGTCATGTATAGTTCTGTTGGTTGATGCCAAAACTGCATTTTACTTCTAAGGATTCAGATGCTTTGCAATTAATGAATACAGGGACCAGCAGATGGCATAATACTTAATGTCACTGGACTCCCACGTAGTTGACTGGGTTCAAGTCCTGGACCTGACAACTTAAAACTCACACCAGGTGTGTGTGCATATGTGCCCAAAATCCCGAGAGGGGAATGGAGGAGAAGGGATTGCAGTGTGGCCATCCCTTCTGGGGGGCGGGGGAGGTGATTTCTCATTTTCTGTCTCTCTGTCTGTCTCTGTTTTTCCAGCAAGCACACGTACCCCATAGCAAAAACCTCTCTAAAAATAAATAAGTAAAAAATAACAAATGAATGAATATGTTCTGTTGAGTTTGTGTGTTAGTTTTTGTTTGTTGTTTGTTTGATATTTTATTAGTTTGGGCATGCATGTGTATGTATGTGTGTGTATAAATGATGTCTAGGGTTCTTATGAAGCAAACACTTACTAGAGAAATACCATATACTATTTCCTTAAATAAGTATACTCATTACTGTTTATAATAAATAAAAGCAAGAGAACACAAAACAACTTGGAAAAAAAAAAAGAGTAATTAAATGGCAGGGCTAAGTCCACCTGTATCGATAATAATTGAAAGTGAATGGATTACATTCCCCAACTAAAAGTCCCGGATTAGCTCAATGAATTCAAACTAACAAGCAAACAAATAAAAAACAGGAACCCTCTGTATGTTTCTTATGAGAAACACACATCAACAAGGATAAACATAGAGTATAAACAAAAAAGGCAGAAATCATGATATTGATATCAGACAAAATAGACTTTAGGATAAAAAGAGACAAGGACACTACATAATTCTAAAGGGATTAGTTCACCGAGAAGATATAATAATTATAAACATTTGTATACCCAACACCAGGGTCCCCAAATATGTGAAAGAACAACTAAGTGCTAAATCTAGAGGGAGATGATCTAAACACACTAATTGTTGGGGATTTCAGCATCCACTCTTACCACTGGACAGGTCATCTAAATAAAAAATAAAAAAGGAAACACAGGAGCTAACTGATAACCATTAACAAAATGGAACTGACAGACATGCATATAACATTCCACCCAGCAATTACAAAATACACTGTTTTCTCATTTCCACATAGAACATTTTTAAAGATTGAACACATACTAGCCATAAAACAAATGTCTACAAATTTAAAGGTATAGAAATTATACTTAGCATATTCGCTGACCACAATGGAATTAAACTTGAAATCAACCACAGAAAGGGGACCAGCAATTGGCATAATGGCTACATTGCTGGACTCCCACGTAGTCCACTGCAGTTCGAGTCCTGGACCTGGTGACTTAAACTCACACTGGGCATGTGTGCGTGTGTGCCCAAAATCCCGAGAGGAGAATGGAGGAGAAGGAATTGCAGTGTGGCCATCCCCACTGGGAGGTGATCTCTTGCTTTCTGTCTCTCTTTCTGTCTTTCTGGCCAGAACACATGCCCTATAGCAAAAACCTTAAAAAAAAAAAACCAGCCACAGAAAGAGCCCTTGAAAATATACAAAAACATGGAAACTAAGCAAACTACTCCTGAATGACTTTCAAAGTACTGAAGAAATTAAGACTGAAATCCAAAGATTCTCTGAATGCAATGATAATGAACACAACAATCTCTACAACTTTTGGGACACAGAAAAGAGCAGTAATAAAAAGGAAGTTCAGGGACCAGCAGATGGCATGATGGTTATGTTGCTACACTCCCACATGGTTGATGATAGTTTGAGTCCTGGACCAGGCAGCTTAAAACTCACTCTGGGTGCATGTACGTGCATGGCCAAAATCCCAAGAGGAAAGTAGAGGAGAAGATGGCATGGCCATTTCCCCTAGGGGTGGGGGGAAGATTTCTTGCTTTCTGTCTCTCTGACTCTCTCTCTGGAGAGTGCTCATGCCCTATAGCAAAATAATTCTCTTTTTAAAAAAAAAGAAGAAGAAGGAAGTTCATAGCCATTAGGGCTCATAAGAAAAAAATTAGAAAGGTGGTAAAAAAAAAAATAACATTGCATCTCAAGGAGCTAGAAAAGCAACAACAAAAATTCCCCAAAAATAACCAAAGAAAAGAAATAGTAAAGATTTGATCTGAAATAAATGAAATAGAGAGTAAAAGAATTAAATATATAGATTTTTTAAAAAGATTTTTTTTGAGAGAACATACAAAATTGACAAACCATTAGCTAATCAAGAAAAACAGAAAGGAACCAGACAGATATAATCAGTAATGAAGCTGATAATATTACAACTGAAAAATTAGAAATACAAAATGAGAGACTATTACAAGTGACTGTATGCCAGCAAACTAGAAAACCTAGATGGGATGGATAAATTTCTGGACACTAGAAGTTACCAAGGCTGAATCAAGATGCAGTGGAAAGCCTGAATAGACCAATAACTTATGATGAGATGGAACTGATGATAGTTTCCCAACAAAGAAAAGCCCAGTTCCAAATGGCTTTACTTTCTAATTCTACAAAAATTTTAAAGAAGAGCTAAACCCAATTCTCCTCAAACTATTTCTAAAGATTCAAAAGGAAAGAATCCTCCCAAACTTTCTATGAAGCTTCTATCACCTTTATACCAAAACCAGACAAGGACATAACAAAAAGAAAAACTACAGACCAGTATCCCTGAGGAATACTGATGCAAAAAATTCTCAACAAGATACTAGCAATATCTTTAAGACTGTTATATACAACAACCAGGGATGCAAGGATGGTCCAGCATACACAGAACAATAAATCTAATACTTCACAATAATAGCAAAAAGGTATACATTATCTTATCTATAGAAGGAACAAAGTCATTTAATAAAATTCAACCTCCCTTCATGATCCAGACTCAGAAAACTACAAGTAGAAGGGACATTCCTCAGTAATTATTCGATATTGAAGCAGACTTAGAAATGATTAGTCTTAAAAGAAGATCTGAGCCCTGCTTAGGGGGAGCAGTCTATACTGCCTTGGACTGCAGTGCGGAAACCATATGGCTAACTGTGGGTTTGGATCCCCAGATTGGCCTGAAGCTAGGCTGAACATGTACACAGGTTCCAAGATCCTAAGAAGCCAGAGGGCTAGGGAAAGGGGATTATGTTGTAACAAGACTCTTGAAGGTGTTCTCACATGCGTGGGTGCTCTCTCGTCCTGCTCATGTGTGCACATATGCTATCCATTAATAAAGCAGATATTTTTACAGCTGAACTTTTAATTTTATTCATATACAGAACCCTCCACTAAGAAAGCAACCTTGCATTTTTGTTTTTAGTATCATTTAGGGGCCTCTTCTATATTGTATTAGGTTGCTGGGAAAGTCATGAAGTACCTTTTCTCTGTTTTTCAGTGTAAAAATGTGTCATGACTTTTCTGACAACCCAGTATTATCTTATTATATCTTTGGTATCGTCGTATATCATATCTCATCCATCATCTCACCCCATGAATCTGATATTAGTATACCCATTTTACAAATGAGGACACAGGCTAGACCTTACATGAGTTTCATAAATCCAGATACAAATTCTGATTTGAACTTGCATCAGTTTGACTGTAAAACCATTACGACTATTTTTTCTCATTTTTTTCTTTCTTTCTGCATTCTTTCTTTCAGAGGATTACATTCGCTATGCCCATGGTCTGATATCTGAATACATTCCTAAAGAATTAAGCGATGCCTTATCTAAATACTTAAAGTAAGTATTGTTCATCTTAGTCCATTATCGTGTTGCTTAGAGAAATTCCTGAGATTCAGTGATTTATGCAAAATAGATGTTTACTTGGCACATGATTTTAACAGCTGGAAATCCCAAAGACATTTGACTGGCATCATGCTAGCTGTTACTTAGCCTACAGAAGCACAGAGGATGATGGGAGCATGGAGAGAAAGCCACCTGAGGCAGCCATCTTCTTTTATAACAAACTGCTCTCTTGAGAACTAACCTTGTAAGGGACCAGCAGTTAGCATAATGGCTATGTCGCTGGACTCCCATGTAGTCGACCGCGGTTCAAGTCCTGGACCCAGTGGCTTAAACTCACGCCGGATACGTGTATGTGTGTGCCCAAGATCCTGAGAGGAGAATGGAAGAGAAGGGATTGCGGCATGGCCATCCCCCCTGGGGGGTGATTTCTCACTTTCTGTCTCTCTGTCTCTCTCTGTCTTTCTGGTGAGCGCATGCGCCCTATAGTATAAGTCAAAAAACAAAAAAAACAAAACAAAAAAAAAAACCTCTCCAGAGAATTAACCTCGTAAGAACTAGAACTCACTGTCTCTCACAAGACAGCATTAATCTATTCTTGAGACTGGTGCCTCCATGTTCTAATACCACAATTCAGTCATTGCCCCACTAGGTCTCACCAGCTCCTAATACCATCCCACTAGAGACAAAAATTCCAAAACATGAACCTTTAGGGCACAAACCTTTATCCAAACCATAACATTCATCTTTGGTCATAATTAAGTATCTTTGCACTTCTTGGTTTCTCCAGCAGTAGGATTTCTTTTCTTATCGTATCACTGTGTCTGATAAATTGTTCTTAGGTTATGTCATATACCCTGTGGTTTGGAATTTTTTTTTTCTTTTTTAGTTTGCTTAAGGGCATGTGCACTCACTGGAGAGCAATAGAGACAGAGGAGACGTGAGAAATCACCCAACAGAGGGGATTGCCATGCCACAATCCCTTCTCTTCCATTCTCCTTTCAGGATTTTGGGCACACACAGACACACACACACCAGTGTGTTTTTCAAGCTGGGATTTGAACCACACAATTGCCCATGTAGTATCCAGCTACCTTAACCTCTTTACCACCTGCTGAAACAGATCGTTTGTAATGAACATTGATTGGGATGAATTGGTACAGTGGCTACTGATTGCAGGAACTAATGAGTTTCCTATTGGAATGATTAGAATTACAGCTTAGTATGATTTTAAAGGATAAACTTTTAAAATTTTATCTCCAGGGACCAGCAGTTAGCGTAATGGCTATTTCGCTGGACTCCCCTGCAGTCCACCGCGGTTCGAGTCCCAGACTCAGCGGCTTAAACTCATACCAGGCGCGTGTGCGTGTGTGCCCAAGATCCCGAGAGGAGAATGGAGGAGAAGGGATTGTGGTGTGGCCATCCCCCCAGGGGGGTGATTTCTCGCTTTCTATCGCTCTGTCTCTCTCTGTCGGTCTGGTGAGCGCACGCGCCCTATAGCGAAAAACCTTTCCAAAAAAAAAAAAATTTATCTCCTATTAGACTTAACTAATTTAGTTCTTTATGTTCATTTTAAGAGAAAGAAAGTTGCGTAGGGGAGAGTAGTGGGTTGTAAAATAGTTTTTAAAATTATATTGTAAGGCTTGTACCATTTTCACTATCATTATTAGGTGCTCACTAAAATACTTTTGTTATTTAAAGTGCTTAGAACGCAAAGTAATATGAAGCCCATTCTGTCTTCTTGAGGGATAGAACAAGGGTTTTAAGAATGAATTGATTTATATTCCTTCTTTTATAAAGATCTTTAGTAGGATATAAAGACTTCAGGTTGAAATATATACTTAATTTCTAGATTTTTTAGCAATTGTTAAGATTTTATGTGTTATGCTTTAGTAACTTTTCCTGCTTCTTAAATCCTTTTTCTCCTCTATTCCAAAATAGATAATAGACACAGTTGCTATTTTAGCAAGTTCCATAGGTCCTACTCCTAAAAAACAATTAGTGAAAACTGGTTTCTATTGTAGTGCGCGTGTATTGAAAGCATGCTTTAAATTTCATAATTATATCCTCTGGTTAATATTTTCCTGGATTTCCTAGCTGCTTGTCTTTTAGAGACCTTTTATCTTTGTACTCCATTATTTATTTAGATTCTTTTCCTTTCACTGAAATTTTAAAATTTTATTTAAAGATTTTGAGAGAAAAATATGGTAATTAAACTTGTATTTAGCAGAAGAAAAGGTAAAGTTTGTATAGCATTTTGTCAACAGTTAAAACAATTTTCACTTTCAAATATATACTAGCATTGGGAACCAGCATTTAGCGTAATGGTTATGTCGCTGGACTCCCACGTAGTCGATCGCGGTTCATGTCCTGGACCCGGTGGCTTAAAACTTACGCCGGGCGCGTGTGCGTGTGTGCCCAAGATCCCGAGAGGAGAATGAAGGAGAAGGGATTGCGGCATGACCATCCCCCCTGGGGGGGTGATTTCTTGCTTTCTGTCTCTAATGTCTCTCTCTGTCTGTCTGGCGAGCGCACACACCCTGTAGCAAAAATCTCTCAAAAAAAAATATATATATATACTAGCATTGTCATTTATGAAAGAAAAATATACTCTAACTCCAAAACCCAAATGTATAGAGGCTAAAGAAAGGCAATTCCATTTCAACAAATGAGTTCTAATGGAATTTTTTTTTTAACTCAGACAATTCCAAAAGACAGAATTAAACAAAATGAAGATTTATTCACTTAAAGAAATTACATTCCTTACACTGAGGTGATTAAACAGAAAGATATGTAGAGGTAAAGTTATTAGATGACAAGTAGGGGGGTCAGCCTGGTGGCATGGTGATTAAGGTGCTGGACTCTTACATCCCCCACTATAGTTCAAGTCCCAGATGTGGTGGCTTGAAAATCATGCTGGACATGTGTGAGTGCCTACCCCAAATCCCCAGAGATGAATGGAGGAGAAGGGATTGTAGTGTAGCCATCACCCCTATGGGGTGATTTCTTACTTTCCCTCTCTCTGACTGTCTCAAGCAAGCACACAC